CTGACTCTACGGCTAAACCTGTCTTTAGTCAAATGCGTACAATGTGCGGATATAAAGCGGCTAGCGTTGTGCTAACAACCCACCTCCGTTTAGAGCCGAAGACCTTTGTCTCTGTATCCCATATGTGTTCTCTCATGGTGCTTTAAAGCAAAGAAAAGATTATCTTTTTTGCATTTACTTGTTAATTTGCGATTTTAGTGTACTACGTAGCCTACTGATTCACCATTTCACTCAATAATTACGTTGCTCCCGAAACTACTTAAGCCGCTCATTCAGTCAAGGAATGCGAAACATGTAACACCGAGTCTACATAATTCAGTTTCCTAAAAGGATGAATGAAAGTCAAACAGCGAGCTTCAAGAAAAAGGCGTACCGTTCAGACCGTCTCTTAGGCCCACCCGGCCACTCATCCGATGCCTACCGTGAAATCTTTCCCCGCGGGGTGAAACTGAATAACCTTCATGTAGTGCCGGGATTTATAATGCGTGGAGCTGTCCTCCTCCTATACATCTTCATGGAGCTGTGTTTAATTAAGCGCAAAGATTTGTTTTTCGTGGCATGGCGCATAATTAAGCAAAATTTACCGATAGTATAATAGGCGTTTTGGTGATTGTAAATAACAAGTTATCATTCTCTAGACAAGTGTAGAACCTTGAAAAAATAGTAGAGGAAATTCAGAATTTCAGTTCAGTATGGCACTGTATGACGGGAGGTCCAATGCCGCTTACGCGTAAACGGACAAGCGTATGTGCGCTGCCACGCAGAAATATTGACGCACCTGCAGGTTTGTTTAACAGGGACCGTAATTAGCAAACTGAATAATGGCCAGACAAAGAAGGGTGTAGTACATACAACAGCAATGCAAGCAGTAGCACTATGTCGACATTACGAAGTGCTAGATCTTATTCAGCAGTCCCTAAAATTTACCATAAGAATTTTACACTCCAATTTACTAAGTACAGTGATTCATCAGACTAAAATATTTCGCTCGGTCGCCATGTTACAACATTCCATTTTCTTAAAAACTGTTATAATAAAAATAGTAAATATCTACCACCATATTAGATATTCCAATTCATTATCCAGTATTCTACCTCACAAATTCGCACTGCCGCCATGTTGGTATTCCTTAATTCTTTTTTCATTACTGTCGGCCAGAGATGTGTAAGGCAAACTTCAGTGACGATGTAAGAAGAAAAGACAATTCTAATAAATACAAATAGAGGTGTGAGGTACGCGAAGTCTCTACAGGATCTAGGCCATGCACTGTCGCCTACCCCCTTCGATGTCAGTGATTAAATTCAAGTTATGTCATCCATCATAAACGACATCCCTAAGATTAATTAAATATTATTTTTACATTTTGTCACGTTCATCTCGGCGTTCCGAATGACCAATTTGCAACATGTTTCTCCACCAAACGTTTATATGCATTTATTGCACCGAACCGAAATATATGTCGAGACATCATTGATTTTTCTTTCTAGTATTTCGTGGGCCGTACAAGTCACGCAGTCGCTCATTATGTAATACTCGGCATTGTCCACTTCATCCCTCTTAGGTACATAGAAAGATTTTCTTGAAAACTGTATTTTCTCACACGAGATTTATATTCCTCCTTCAAATGAACAGAACGTATCATGTAAAACAGACTAATGCTTTCTAAAAGATGTATTTAGATTGTTATGTTCGCGCCACAGAAAGAATTGTACGGCAGAGTATTGTTGTAGTAGTGGTTGTTGGAAATCCCAATTGAGGTCCCCATCACTGGAAATTACTATCTGAACACAAATTCAACAAAGATATTTAAAAAGGTAGCAAATGATGTGGAAAAAATATATTTTACCAGATGATGGAGTGTTTAGCACGCTTCGCTCACTGAGCGCTTTAACGCTACGCTCTGCTGTGTGAAAGCGAGTGTAATCGATAGAAAACAGTGGCTGACGTTGAAGCGGCGACACCAGGAGCAAGTAAGCGAGAAATGCATGGCTGGATGGACGATAGACGTCAGTGGGCATCTCTTTTTTTATATTCATGAATCTATTTTTATGTTGAATACTTTACGAGAATCTGATAAAGCATGCCTGTAGAAGCAAAACAAAGATGGTTTGACGCTAGGCTGGAGACACAAACAACGTTCTTCCTTTGTTCTATTTACCGTTGAAAATATTTTCACGGTGGAGTTTTCGGTGTGCCTTTGAAGTTCAGTGTATGACTACTTTGCCATTTTTGTTCCTTTTATGCTGTTTTTACAAAGCAAAGGCTAACACCATATTTCTAATCTCAATTTAAATTCATTAAAATTCGGTTGCTTGCGACCGTAGCTCCACTATAAACTTAAGTACTAACAAGCCGCAGTTTCTAAAGCGCCGAAATTATTTTTAAATCAGTGGAGTATCTTACGTGCGGCAAAAATAAGCACTCGTGTGTGTGTGTATTGGGGGGGGGGTATATACGTGGTGTTACATTATTGTTACTTTGAAATTCGTCAGAACATCGTTCAGAAATAAATTTTGTGCAATCCGGTTAACTAATTGGAAGTAATCCATGACGAAATTACATAAAAATGATTCACCACTGGAAATAATTTTGAGACGTGACAAATATCTCTCTATTACCAAGTCCAGTTACGTAAATTCGTAACATATAACTTTTTCGATATCAGGAGTTGTTAATTATAAATCTAAAGGTCCAAGCTAAGGTCCCACCCTGTCAGTTTCGGTAACTGCTTCTCTTCAAATTGCCGTTTCATCAATAAACTTTGACCTGATGACGGTAAATTTAATAAGGATTTTAAGGAAAGCACATTTGAATTACCGGTATAAATAAATTACACAAAACCAAGTACATGTAGGGACTTTCTTGAAAGACTGACAGTTGTTCAGCTGTTCAAGAAATGTCTCGCAGATTTAAGAACTACTTTAAACCAGCATGTTCATCAAATCCATCCAGTGGACCGTATGTACGAAAAAATTAAATCCAAATTACACTTTCACAAGATATTTCTGAAAGAGCATATATGAAGAAAATTTTCTGGCCATGCATCCCTCTGCCTGTTCACGAGAAAGCCGAGTCCTTGTTCTTGATTGGACGTTCTTCATTAGGCCGGAAATTTGCTCACAGCGACAGGTACGCTGCTTCCCAAAACCGATTTCTGCTATCAGGTAACTACGTTTCATTATACAGGGTAATACAGTATTTCAGTAATTATACACGGAGCAAAAATGTAAATCGACAGCCGCATACTGTGAGTTGAGAAACCCTGGTTTAGTTATTCCTACCGTATTCGAGAAGTTTTTGGTTATAATCTCAGACCAGAGTCAATATTTACTAAGGCTTCTCATAATTCTTCTCAGACTCTTAAAGCCTTAAAAGATACCACGACCTCCAATTTCCACATCAGAAACAATTCGCTATTATATGGTACAGGCTGTTCAAATAAACCAAAAGTATTCGCCCGTGAAATCCTGTTCGTGTGACAGCAGTACACTCATTCGACCTAAGAGACTTGTTTGTTACCTTTGTTTGAGAAGCTGCATCTCTGTTTTAATTTCACGCATTTGTGACACGCGGTGGATCCCACTCATTATCGAGTTGCGATCCACTACTTCATAAACAACTATATCGTCAGAAAGTGTTTAGATATTTAATTACCATTCCGCATTTGATCATTATAAACATCGCCATATTTTGAGCAAAGCGAACATGTGTAAAAAAACAAATAACTATATTTATTTTTTATAGTTTTAAACAATTTAGAAAAATAGGTAAAATTAAAACTTACATAACAAATTTACTAATCCACGTAACCTTTTTGGCACGGACATAAAATGCATTTCTGTATGACTTCCTGCATGCAGGCCCATGTTTAAGAACTAATTATTCTTGCCTCGGACAAATGTGAGCATGATGTTATACAGATTCTCTGTATTTTATGTAGACCTTTAAATTGTATCGTCAAGTAAATTTCCGTCTAATTCGTTCTGTTATTTAAGTTTCTGCTATGGTTGATTTTAGTCTCCATTAAATTTTGTTTCAGCTATTAAATTTCTGTCACAGTTAATATACTGTGTAACTCTAAAGCTGCGAGAACTGAGCAACTGATAAAGTTCCTCCCTATTTAGCACGCACTGTACAGCCTACAAGTATAAACGTCAATAGTAGGTTTTTACTTGCTGGCTATTTTCGTTAACTCAGGACAGCGTGTCACTTGTTGTCAACCTATTGGCAGTTTCTAACTTTCTGTTATCAACGTCACGTATATGGCCATTGTGTAATCTTTTGAGGAAAACAACATTATCCTCATTTAAAATACTGCCTTTTGTTTTTATACATTATCTTTGAATCATATTTTACTTTTATACGGCCCTCTTTCAGGAGAATTAATGACAAAATGTCGGCTATACGATCTATATTCGTATCTTTCTTGTTATCTGTCATCTAGATGTCGTAGTGTTTGTTCGCAGCGATGTTGAGCTTCAGTATATTATATATTTACATAATACACTTTATATGTATATTATAGGCCTATATAATACCCACAGTTGGATCGAAGATAAAAGGAAAGGCATCTGTTTTCGTATGAAGATGATAACTGGCGAATTTTAACTCGGCATATAAAATTTACACAGTGACAATTTACAAAAAAACATCTTTTAGTTTTATTAGTGGTTTTAAAACGTATATTATCCCATTCTTCCAAACCCTGTGACAAACTTCAAATGGTAATTAATTTAGTAATAGTCTCTTCACATGTCTACACGTTCATTATTTATTTTATGAAGAGTGCCTGATAATGCTACCCCACACCTCGTGGGCTTCATGTCATAGGACGAGGACGAGCCACACTTCTTTCTGATCCCATTAGCTGGCCACGTACGTTCGTCCCTTACGCAGGTACGACCTACATCCGAAGGGAGACCACCAAATCTGGATGATTTTATTTATGTTTTCACAAAGTGTACGAAATTAACGTATAGCTAAAGTGGACAGCGTCTCCGTCTGTTCCCATACTCAAATCTACAAGTCGTTTTTCGATTAAATTTGGTATCAGCGGTCTAAATTAATGTTGTCGGTGAATTTAATTCTGGTTCATGTAGGTCATTGTACCTCCACTTTACATGAGGCTCGGGTCAATCTTAATCGATTTTCTAAAAGGTAGTTCATTGTACGATACACGAAACGTAGATATCGCATAGTTTTACAGTTTCATTTAGATCTTTTTGAGACGGGTAATATTTAAATTAATCCATAGAAAAGGCGATTTTCCGCTCTGTGAAGTGTATCTGTCAATTGTGATTAGCTAAGTAATAATGGGGTTTTGGCTAATGTGCAATAGTAAATTTGCATATACGATGAACGGAAAACAATCCCAAAGATGTATCCAAATCGTAACATGAGAAAGAAAGCACATTTGAACCATGTGTGTGCCCCAGACTGTGGTATATATTTTAACTTTTCGTCCTTCCATAATAGTAAGGTGCGGTCGCTAAGTGTTTAACGTTGGTCTACTGTCTACATCCTTAGGGCTGAAGTAGAGAATTTATATATAAAGAGTCACATGAAGGGCACCGCCACTTCAGCCGTGAAGACGGAGACAGTATATTTATCCGAAACGTTGACATCTACCTACGTGTCTACATAGCCCAGAATAAACAACATCGTCATCTTTAGCGTACCGAGAACCTCAAATCTCACATCAACACTTTGGTTATTCACTTTAAGATCTTGATAGACTAGGCTGTATAAAAAGTGAAAAATGCAGTCTGAACATGTAAAAATTTAATTAAGGTACTTTTACTGTGTAACACAGAATAAAACATGGCATGCCTCTGACGTATACTTATGATTGCGTGGCATAATATAGATAATAAGTGGCTATGACATGGCTTATACATGCTGTTGCATTTAGAGTTCTGTGTTCCTGCTAGTAAAATAAACCGATATACGTATTAATATCACAACTGACATGCCCTGTGTCCTCACATCACAACTACAGATCAGGGACACTTTAAAAATCAACTGATAAGTGAAATATAGGCGCATGGAATGAATAATGACAAATTTAAAGTCTACTGAAAGAAAAAAATTAACTTAAAGGAGACGGGAAAGTTCGTATATGTAACATTTTAAATATGTTCATTTGCAGAGTGAGGGTAGAATCTTTGTAGATAACGTTTTCTGGGTGCCTGTTCTAATAAATTTTACAATTATTAAATATTATGTTTAAAGACTGCTTACATATAATATATTAAAAGTGTCTATATTTAATATTAACATTTATACGCAAGAAATTTCAGCAATCTGAAAATATTATAATAGTCAACAAATTAGAAGGAAATTATTCACATTAATATTTATCCTATATTTTGCCAACTGTAGATTTGAGGTTATCGCGGAGATAAAGATCTCGATATTGGTCTTCTGTACTGTAATTCCGTGTGGATATATTGCCTTCACCTTCAGGGTTAAGATTGAGGTAGCAAGTTCCTCTGAAAAGATGGTATCTGCCTGTAAGTCCGCATGGCATTACAATCCAGTAGACCGATGTCGAAAATTACAAGTTGTCGTTATTCTTTAAAGTAATATATCTCGTCTACAAACTTAATTTTAACCAAATTACTGTACATTCATAGAATAGTATAACCTAATTGTTAGCATTAATTTGAAATCTCGTCAGCTAAGCATGGAAATGCAGATTATCTAGTAACGTTACATCCATACCTGTAAATAATCCATAGAACGTCAATGAAATTTTCGTATTTATTGACCTGCGTGATTTTCAATACGTTACTGCCAGTCCTCATGTTTCATCTCAGAAGTACTGAACCGATGTAAATGAATACTGGCTTTGTTATTCGGGGAGGATCTTCACTAAAATGTGTGCCCTGAGTTTAATGTTTACCCATATCCGTTCTATGTAATCCTAATTTTAGATCAAGCTCAAATTTATTTTCTCACAGAATAAAAGCTCTCACTGGACTAAATATTTTAACATAACAAAAATACAGATTTCATTAAGACCTACAACTTTAATTCGAAATATTCTTGGATGTGACCAGCATTTAATGAAATGCAGCAAAACTAACTCCATATAGCAGTTTACTTGACTAGAAGGATATTTTACTTTCATCTGTCTACATTACCTCTAGTCAAGAAGTCCTGAAGATGGTAATATAAAGACCGAAAGATGTTCCATTAACTAAAATTATTTTGTATAATAAAAGAAGATGTTGACAAATTATGGGAAAAAAGTCGTCTAAACAATACACAACGGAATACTTCGATGCAAATTACCATTTGAAGCTGACAGTCACTAGACAACAAATTCCTCATCTTCTATGGAACCAGAACCTTCCATGTGAGCCTGGCATTAAGCCGGACAATAAAGACAGATGAGTCCAGTTTTAATCAGATACAAGGAAGACTACTTTACAACTCTGGGCAGTATGAGTTCTGTAATGAGGATATTAATAATTGACTTGTATCCGTAGTAAACGAATATCAAGACTGCAGTTAGCTGTCTTCAAGGTTGTTGCTGTGCAGTCTGATAGAAGAATGCAGATCAGCGAAGAACACACTTGTAACTTAGGTGTTATCCGATGGAATACATATTCCACTCTTGTTTAGAATATGTTTTAGCTTACACTAATCACGAAATGCTCATCAGTTATAGGCTTACTAGCAGATTCTGGTTTCATACTAACTAGAAGTCATTTTTAGGTCAACGATCTAAGAGCAGTGTAGTTTGAACACATTATTGGCTAGCCGTAAGAAATCCAAACTCACCTCATGATTTCGTGTTCCCGTTCCTCTTCTTGTTTCTGCCTCATCATGACAGACTCGATTATGCGTCTTTCCTCGGCTGTGAGGTGTGACATATCCGGTAAATCCGCCATCGTGTAGTGACGACAGTGGCTTACACTAGTAATTCCGACTATGAAAGAGACGGTGAGTCGAAGGATGATTTCCCGCTGCACCGAGGCTATTTTCTTATCCTGAGAACGCTTGTTGCTTCCAACAGCATTGGGCAGGAAGAATAATTGGACACTTTCGTGGTGAAATGGATCCACCATTGCTGCGATGCGAATCTGTTACACATAGCCACCCGACGGCCACCATTTTGTTTCTATCCGAGCCTCTTTTTTAAATTTCCTTTCTCTCTCTCGTTCCGTCTTTCTCTCTCTCCTTCGGTGTAGCTCTTTCTCTTTTGTTCAGCTCGGTTCGGTCTAACCTGATAACCGAAATCTCTTATTAATTAATACATTGCTGAATATTACTCCAGCTATTTTATATACACACTTCTTTCCAAAAGCATTAACCGCGCACTCACACATAAATAAAAATAAAATATCAATCACACACGGGAGATATTAAAACAAAAACCAAATATTTGTAGTTTATCTATGGCATTTTGGATACGCGATTTATAATATGGATAGAATTGAACTAAGGTGAAGACGACGCTACGTAGGATTCTTGTCCGATGGGACGATCTCCTCGTTTACTGTGCAGGTGTGAAACCAGACATTGCTGCCGACGATGACGTAACGATCTTGCATTATCAAATTCCGTCCTCCCTTACATATATCTCGCTGAATTTCGTGCCCCATTCTCGCATTACTTTGTACAATATAGAACGTGTAGGAAAATTCTCCGTTTTGAAGTCAGCAAGCTTCTGTTTTCAGAATCCCGAACAGTTTCACATCACCAGCGGTCTGCTTTTACACGTCACTACAGTTCATTCGCAGTTGCACTGATAAGTTCACTCGCGGAGAAGAATAAAAACCGAATCACAACCCTTTCCTCTTTTTGGGGTGACAGGGTAGGGAGGGAAAACGAGAGAGGGTTAGGGAGGGTTAAATATAGGTAACAGTGTCTTGCTTGGATTTGTGGAAGTGATAATGGTGCCCGGCGTCCACTCGATAACTTAAGCGTTATATGTGAAGCATGACGTCCTCTCACAGATAACTTGCGAAGAAAATAGTCCCGACAACCTTAACTTCGTTTTATCAGATACGTACAACACAACTTAATGAGGCTTCGAATCCTTCAACACATCACCGTCCTCTCCCTTTTTCACCCTCTTCGCTAAAATTACTCATTCATGCAGAGGTTAATACATAATAGGATGCGTTAAATCTAAACCAATGGCGTGTGTCCTAGCAATGACGTCACGACACTATATACACATACATGGGATGGAGTGGAAGGTATTGATCCGGTGTGTTGGAGGCGCTGTCATCGCTCCTGGATGGCGGTGGTGAATGAAGTCCAAGAAAAGGACGCCTGAAAACTTGGGCAAGGGAGGACGAGGGAGGCAAACCTGTAGAAAGGGCGCAGGCGTCGGTATAATGCGTGGGGATGTACTTCCTCCCGGCATGCTCAACGCATGTTATGTGCGTGGGCGGTTTTTTTGTGTGTTTTTTAGACGTCGTCTGTATAAAGGTGATCAAGAGTGGACATCGTGACACCGACGCCTTCATGATAGACTACACAGTTTTTGAACATGAAAAGGTCATATTTGAGATCCTCACGAACTAGCATTCTGTCGAACATATCGATAGTCTGAGTAAACGAAGAGAAGTGGTTACATTGAATCAGTCTCGCTTGCCAGAACTGTATCGGAATATATATATATATGTATGTATGTATATATACACACATACATAACTTCGGCTCTTGGGTATGAGCCCAGTCGAATGTTGCAGGTTACGAAACTCGACGCCGCGAAAACCTAACGATTATAAACTGAAGTAACTCTGATTCCGCACAATCTGGTAGGAATAGCAGAATATCTGTTACTGCTGTGTTTTGTTGTAATTTACAAGTAGGTATAAGAAGGTGGACAACGAAGAGGGTATAAAATTAGTTTGTGAACGACACCCATTATGGGGCTTGAAAACTATAATAAAGATAATAATTTGGATCTCTCCAGAAAATTGTGAGATTAAATTATTATAACCTGTACTAAAGAACTACCAAATTCTTAGGCTGTAATAAAATGTGCAGAAACATCGGAAAACCCAGTACGGTAGTTGTGCTACACAGAACCTCTCTGATCATGTCATTTAACTCGAAGTTGGCTGCACTTCCTTTCCAAACCAACATCTAAAAGCACAAGAAACACGGTTCTAAGCAATTAGTATTACTTATGACTTACTTCCAAATTCTTCACTGAATGTCTTTTTCAATAAACTTATCACAAATCTTGGGCTGCCATTGTTGATTAACTACGACCGTAAACTCGTGAGAGAAGCACCAAAATAACATACTTTTGCACACAAAGCTTGAAAACCGCGCTGTCTCAATACGCCATCTTTCACTGAAGTTGAGTACCAACACGACCGACCTAATGGCGCTAAATTTAAAATCATTTGAGAAATTCGTTTGTCAGTTGACACGGGTGCATAATTTTACACAGCTTTGTAATTTTAGGCTAGTCTAGCCATTATACTATGTTTCATAAAATAGCACACAATATTTCTGATATACTTCTCACAAGTTAACTCGAGATGCGACAGAAAATCTCCTCGCAATAATTATGAATCACTGTAACTTGTTACTTTTAAATCATTTAGTAAACTTTACCAACATTCAAGTTGTACTTTAGTTATTAAAACTTCCACAGTTTAATTCTACAGAAGCCTGAAATATAATATAGAAACAAGGAGTGATAATTCTTGTATAGCCTAAATAGTAGGTCTGATGTTCCTGAGAACTATTCACTAAGTTATTAAGTGAAATAGTAATTTCATTTTGCCACAAATTTAAGCTTTCTTTTTCCTGAATTCGGTTTATTACTCAGTCACTTTGTTGCTTTTATTATAATGCTGTAACTCGGTACTGCTTTATGACTTATGGGTTTCTAATTGGATGGGTTAGTAAATAATTATAACCATAATTTATTTTTATTTAAAACAAGTAGCACCCAAAGGACATAGCGATAGGATTAATTAAATTTTAATAACTAAATTTCGAAATGGTAGCGATGCTTACAGAATGTTCTCAGTATTGTCGAACATCGGAATAAATTTGAGATACTCTGATAAACTGTTCACTTCTGGCGTGCCAAAGTAGCTGCTGTAAACCATTTGTATAACTTTCTTTCTCCCCAAAGCACAACATTTCCTTTCATGAAAATGAAGAAAGACTTCACCATGAAGTAAAGTTAGTACAAAATTACGAAATATCTTTTTACACAATTAACAGTAAGCGGTATTTAAACTTCATGTGGCGTGTCATATAGATCATTTCTAGAATAAAATTTGACATTAACCAAAGTCGCGACCACATACAAAGCCTCTGTACCAGCAAATCGATCTTGAACTCTCCTGCCATCTCGCTGTGGTGAACTTTACTCTGACTAGCTACTGGCCACTTTATGAACAAAAGAAATTGAATTCGCTGTGTATTTATTTATAGTTTATTTAACGACACTTTTCACATAAATTTACTGTTGCACTAGAACATACCTATCCCTATAAATTGTTCAGTAATCTTATGAGTTGTAAATTTCTCGCACTTTGAGAAGAGATCTTAAATTAGGCTCTAAAAATACTTTAACAAAACGTGTGTAGGGTGAGTGAAGTAATTAAGAAATTTACGATACACCAACTATGTACCGAATAACTTCGTGATTTGTTGAAGCCCATGAGACGTTGGTGAGCGGTAATGGAGGCAGCAAGGACCTCTGAAACGTTAGTAACTTCATCCAGACTACACGGCGAAACAACCCAGAAGACAGCCATCTCTAGAATCTGCTGAATTTGCGGACTCCTTAGGCACAACTTGCAGACCCCAGCTGCTGAGTGGCTTATAGTATATTTTGGTGACGGAGAAAATGTTGTGGCCTGTTAGTCATAATTTTCTGTACTTTATTCATCGTTCTGTACTGTACAAACATAACACCAAGTTTCGGGAACAGAACCTCCTTCCATCATCAGGTGAAACGTGCTTACGTGTTTCGTTCGACCCGTTAGATAACAGAATATAGTGCAATGGATAAAGTCCAAAAGATGATCAACAATCATTGTAATCCACCATTTTTAGTACTACTTGGTGTCGTTCGAAAATGTAGTCCACCATAAAAATTTAAACATAATTAGACGTCCAAATAAAAGGTCCCTGACCTAAATATTAAATCCCATTTGAAGATACAAATTGCTTAAGTAAAAAGACTGTCAGAAAACACTTCTAAAAGTTATACTTATTTTAATACAAGAATATATTCCTAGCTAGAAGTGACACATAACTCCTGCCTGTCCACAGGCTTCACGGCAAAGGAATCGGGCATTCTCCAATACCCAAGAGACAACCCACTATATCCGTCCAAGTAAGTCCTAGCGGTAAGAGGAAACCATTAACGACTTCGAGAATAGACTCAAGGATTCCATCGATCACCATGGGCTTCATCAGGTAAATTAGTTCTGGTGTAATTTCTTCGATGAGCCTGTTAAATACGTCATTTGTCTTACCACCAGTATACCCCATCAAACTACTTATTTCAACCTGAAACAAACATAAAGCAGATAATATTATTGTCAGGCAGTAAAACCTGCTTATAACTAAATAAAAAATATGTATGATCTTGAGCTTTCACGATGACTATGTACAATAAAATCTTCTCGGGCTATCAGCTGTGTCAAGTGGTTAAAACATGGAAAGACCAACGTTTCGAGGTCCATCTCTGTCCTCGTCCTCAGGGTTACCAGTCACACGGGGCTGATTCGGTGGAGAGCCCCAACCACTTCAGTACCCTGAGGACGAGGACAGAGATGGACCTCGAAACGTTGGTCTTTTCATTTTTTAATTACCACAATATTGAAAAGAAGTTTTAAGTAAACTTATAACAAATTAGATATAGAATCTAATTAATTCATTTTAATAAGTTATAATAACGCACAATATTCCTATTATTTATCAATCACAGTCAATTATATCAGGATATTTTTAAAATAATAGTGGACCCACTCAATACATGTCTTACCTTCAAAGAGTCAAAAAAGATGTCGGCTAATAAAGTTTCTATGTAGATGATTTCGTCTTCTGTTGATCCGATAGCGATTAAGCCTTCCAAACGTAGATCGATATTTAGGCTAGAAACATGTGCATCAATAGACCCTCGCTATTAACATACCAACTTTTCAACTTCTTTACGCTATTCATTTAAAGCAAAGTATTTTAAAACATTGTAAAATAAAAATTAAATATGTACATTTATCCGTACTATTTTGGAGATGTTGGTAGTAGCAGCAGTAGTACTAGTAGTAGGTACATTAGTAGCAGCATGAAATGCCATGAGAAAATAATTTATACTGAATAATGTATTTTTTCAAGATAATATTTTTACTAATTAAAAAGAAGATAATCTGTAATCTTATTCATTAATTATAAAACAGCTAAATAATTGTGCACTAATTAATCGTTTAGAGCGTAATGTTAACCTATGTACCACCCGCTTTAACAGTTAGTAATTCTACATTTTGTATTAATGGGTTTTGTGTGTTTTTCGGTGTAAACAGGGATTATTTTCTTAAATAGCATAACCAACTGATCTTTGTGGTGGTGGCGTTACATTTTCTTCACTTCCTATTTTAAATTAACAGCTGGCAACACTCACTTCGCTGTTCCACCTCCGTAGAAGGGGATGGTGTCCCCAAGGATGACACTGAAGTCAATGTAATTAGCTTTCACTTGTAATGGAAAAGTTAAATTGAACACGATTTCAAGATTAGCCAACTGTAACGACAGTGCATTTCTTATAAAACTGCTAAGTCCTGTGATTTCGAAGTCTCCCAGTTCAACGTTCTCCACTCTGTAAAGGAAAAAAATAAACAAATATAAACATGTAACTGAAACATGTTCATTTATCATAACCAAAATTCAGTATAAAATCACAATAATTTATTAAGATAGCTATCAAATTTTCGATAATGTGAAAAAGTTAAAATATTTTGGAAAATTATTAAATAAATAAAATTAGAACCAGATTGAATTCGAGGAATTTCTATGTTTAATTTAAGGTCATGTATCTAAAAACCTAAAAATTAAAACACAGACTTATATAAAATTTCATTTTATTTTATATTTTGAAAACCCGGCGTTTTTATTTTTTGAGATGAATGAAGATTGAGGGTTTTAAGAAAATTTGCTACGAATATTATTTGAAGCTTAGAGAAAGCAAGTACAAGGATAATTGAAGATAATTACGTAATGAGGAGCTTCATAATTTGCACTCAGATATTACCAATATAATTAATGGCTAAGCTGGTAGATACACTTACAACGCAACACACAAGTATCAGAAAAACTAACAGCTAGTGTGGTGCATTTTAGGGGTCCGAAGTATTATTAGTAGATTTAAATCCGTTTTACTTATTATGTGAGATTCCACTCATTATCTTGATGGAGACAAAAGCATCTCTGAACGTGGTAAATTTCTACAAGATTGCACGGCGCAACTTCCCAGATGACAGACACCTGCGTACTTTTTATCTAGTTTACTGAATAACATGAAGTTTTTATCAAAAGCGGAATTACCTATTGTTCCTCTTAAAATAAATCTAAATACACGTACTCGCCTTCCTCCCCCTCTTCTTTCGTTTTGAGTTTCTCACGGCGACGAGTATGAAGACGGCTATGTTCTGGGAGAATCCGCCGTGTAGTCTGGTAGATATTGGCCGATATTTCAAAGTGCTTACTGACTCCGTCATCGTCCTAATAATGGAGGCAATAATCACCTTTGAAACTTCGGTCAGTATCTACCAGACTACACTATACAACATCGCAGAACACTATCATCTTCATCATTAAAGAAATATAACTCCGAGAGCAACTTTCATGTTATAACGTCGAGCCCAAGTAGGAAACTCAATACTAGTTTTCTAACGTTCCTTAAAGCATTTAAGGACTTCCCGTAATAATGTCAACGAACCCAGTCACCTCTCCCTAGTTCCGCCTCAGAATTTGATTTTTGTTATATGTTACGCTTTCTTATATTAGCCAGTTTTAATCTTAAAATTACCTTTATCTTTCACGCTTTTCAGTACATGTATGAATATTACCTTGGTTAAGCAATTAATTGAGTTATAGCGTGCCATGAGATATTAAGAACAAGCCCTATATTTTAGTGTGCCACCAAATGGAATATTTTAGAAAAATTATACATGGTATCGTTAGCTTCACAGTTCATTAAAGCTATTTTTTTAAACTTCATAGTTTATAAAATATATTTTATCCTTACGAAGTACTGTATTTTCCACAGGAAGAGATAATAAGAAGATAACATGATTCTTCCGGCACAGAACTAACTTCTGGCAGACACCACAGAACCAACAGTTGCCAGTTTTGCTAATTTGTCTTTCATTTGCAGTTCCAAGTGGTGGTTATGAAACATAACAGGCCTAGATTACTTACGTCATCATGCCTGATAAGTCAATTTCACCAATGGAGATGTTACCCGTGTACACAAAAGGGTCTAACTGAGGAATACCATATTCCGGTATTCCGTGTTCCAGAATTCTTCGAATGAAGTCCTCCAGTTGTTGCTCAAATAATCGTTCTATAAAACGGAATACAATAATTTCTTTAAAATTTGTAAAATATTTGTAAAAAGTCATATTCATTGTGTTTAAGGGGCTCTTTCCGTGAAAGCAACAGACCTCTTGTGAGATCCATGAGTGGACGAAAGGAAAATATTAAAGTCGATCTTAAATTAGTGGAATTGCAAGGATGTGGAGTGGTTTCAATTGGCTATGGATAATGCCCACTTAAGACTTTCGTGAACACACAACATGAACCTTAGGGTTCCATTATTTTTAACAAGCTGAGAGAGAGTAGCTTTTCAGAATGGACTCTGCTCCTCAGAGTTAGGTGTTTAGATATGGTTCGAAGCGATATCAGCACTGTATATCTCTCCTATCAGTATTAATTATTTCTGGGGGAATCAGCTCCAAGAAACAACTTTAATATTCTATTAAAATTGCAGTACTGTGGGAATTTTAAGGGCAATTTCTGATTGGTTTAAGATTTCTATAAACGTACAGAATAAAGTTGTTATTTACAGATGCAAGAAAATAATAACAATTGATAGAAGATGTTGACTTATTTGTATAGCATTGAGAATTATATAAAATAACCACGAGCAACTTCACCTCTGTTCTTCATAACAGTAGGCTTCTAAGGGCTATCTTACGTAACATTAGAAGAAACCTTAAATTTATACCACTGAAATATTGTGTGAGGAGTGTTGATAGAAATGTTACAGTCCATTATTTAATTAATTAATGAGCTTTGAGCAATGGCTGGAAAGGTTAGGGCTTAAGTGAATGAATGAAATGTACATACATTTCAAAATCTGAATTAATAATATTATTCTTACCTTTACCACGAATTTTTGATAAAGCTTCATGATTCCTTTCGTCAAATTTAAGTGTTTCCGTATTCCCTTGTGAAATATCTGAAACAATAATTTTTTGCGTAGCTGTGACAAGTCGCAATGAACAGGATATAGATTATATTATTCCTAAAGGTTTCAAAACAAACTTAAAAGAAACTAACTTTTTCATTATATTAAATTAAATATTTTCTTATTCAAGTGGTTATTTTCCAACAAAACTATTTAAACAAACACTATATTTCAATCAATTCTATATGTTTCTTTAAAACAATGTTAAAACCATAAACACCTTCTAAGTATGAACTACTGTTGAATACAGCATTACTTTACTTCTGAGCTAAATTTATCGTTTTGTATATTAAAACGAAGCCACGACTTCAGGTGATAAAAGCCCACTCTGTTGGGTCATCTAAAAGAGATAAATCCAATCTCTATGCAACTTTAAGTCAACTGATAGGAGCTATATTAGCTACTATAACAAACTACTGTTCTTACGAGAAAATAGAAAGACTGTGGAATAAAATTATAATATTGCATCCGAAGATTTTGAACAAATGGCTTGTTTGGCAAACCCGTTTATCCAACCGAGTTAAAAAATTTCGACTGTATAGCTCCCGTTATTTAAAAAAAGAAGTGAATTAAAAATTTCTGGAGGGAGGAGATGGAACACGGTTGATTTACAGATAGTTGCCAGCGGACTCCATAGGTGGCGCCGTTAATGAACACAATTGCTCTGGGCATTTAATTTTGATTTGGTTTGGTTTTAAGTCTTCAAATAGAATACTATACTTTTATTCCGATGTCTTCTCGTTACATCAGAATGATTTAGTTCAGAAGGAAAATTATTGTTGTGCATAACACATATTGTTAGAACCAATTAGAGTAACGAATCGCTGTACCTTACAAACCTCCCTGTTAGATTTCGGAACTGAAGCTTGATCTCTTACCTTCTTTCTCTCCTTCTATAAAACAATGGCTGGTAGCATTCTTGACTTCACAACTGCAAATCAGTCTAAGAGGAATGACCAACAGGAAGATCAGTAGAACATGGGGATGGAGACACCCCATCGTCCTATATCAATCATGAAGTCTCGTAATTAAAATTGTGAGTCACCGATATATA